AGCTATTAATGAGTTTTTGGCATTAATATGGGGGAAAGTGAAGTTTTCACACAATGCATCAGAATCTAAAGTATCACCACATATTTGTTAAAAGAAAAATTACCTGTTATGTTGTTGAAAGAAGAATCAGCAGGATGTGGTGACGCACATCTATAATCCCAGCACTCAAGAGGCTAAGGCAGGAGGATCACTGTGAGTCTGAGGCAAATCAGGGCTACAAAGTGTGTTCAAGGCCAGCCTGAGCTGCATAGTGAAACCCTATCTCAAAAAGACCAAAAAGAAGAAGAAGAACAAGTATTCCTGGCCAGAGGGATACTAGATTGGATTTTCATGATGCTAAGGAAGGCTTACCTCTTATTTTATCTACCTTAATGAAAAATAAATGTTAAAGTTTTATTTTTAAAGATATACTCTACATTTCTCTAAGTAAAAAAGAAGAAAACAAATCAATTTTAAAATTATCAGAGTACGGGAGTACAGGTCAGTATTTCCCACTTAGTAAGTTGTCCGTGGTGAGGACACACCAGACAGAGCCTTGGATGTGATTGGCTGTTATCGGTGTGAAGCTTGGTGACAGGTGTGTTAGTTTATATTCGTACAATATAAACAAAGAAGTTGCCAGGAAAGAAGGTCCAGAGAATGAATGAAGTATTAGACCATAGCCTGATTTCTTTGGAACCCTTCAACAGATTTGTTTCTGATAATCCATTGCAATACTCACTATTCAGCTCTGTATGGATAACTCTTTGGTTTTACAATGTTACCATATACTGGTATATCAGTCAGTGCTCATTAGAGAAACAGATTTAATGAAGATATACAAAGACCTAAGAGTTTACAAGATTGGACTGAAGTGGCCACTCACAGAGTCAGGTGTGGCAAAACACAATAGGGCTGTCTGCACATGGGAGATTCAAAGAATCCAGTGAAAAGCCTGGAGCTCATTTTAGTGTCCCATGAGAGTCCATATCAGGAGGTCAAAATGTCTGCCATGGAAGGCTAAAGAGTCTTCACTGGAAGCCAAAGGGTCGGGATGGAAGCTGAAAAGTCTGTGCTGGAATCCAGGAGGTAATGACCAAGATGAAGGAAGTGAGTCTTTCTTCATTTCCCTTTTGTTCCATTCAGGTGACAAGCTTTATATTCATTGGTGTCACTCACATCCAGGCTGGGTCTTCTGTCTTCAGTAAATCCCTTCAGTTGCATTCAGAACTATGCTGATCCCACTTAGTTGGTCATTTCTTGCTCAAGTTGACACAATCAGTTAAGTAACACAACTAGTGAAATAAAATTAATTTCCTTTATTAAAAGAGGGCAAAAATGTGAGAAATTTTCTACTATTATCTGTATTGTTTTCCTTTCCAAATTAAACACATTTTAATAGAAAGCAGGTAGCAATAGATATTCTAGCATTTTACAATTCCTTCTTAGAACTAGTAAGAGTCTCTAAGTAATAAATTTCTAATTATTTGAATATATGAAAGGAATCAATACAATGGCAAATTCACACAGTCCTTCTAAGAGTTAACTGAACAAAAGAAAATATTCTGATTCTTCATTAATTTGGAATTTACCTTTTCATTCTTTAGTACATCTGCATTGCTTTTTTCAAATACTTTTGATTTTTCTAAAATTCTTTCTAATATCTAAGTATTTTTAAATAAACTACTGGCCTAATTTGTAGGGTACCATAGTCATTGTTGTACTTTATTCCAGAAAAGCTGATACTCCTTTAAAACAGTTAAACTCCAGTTAAAAATCCAGTGCTCAAACATGGAAATGAAAAGGTATTTAACAGTCATTAAGATCAGAGATAGGTCTAGCTCTTGATTTCAAAACTTATTATCTTTTCTTTTTACTAAATGCTCTATATTTCTTTTCTATTTTTTATTTTAAAGAGAGTGGTAAAAGAGGAAGAAAAAAAAAAAAAGAACAATAGCACCATACCAGCATCACAAACATAAACAAAACAAAGCAAGAACATTAAAAGAAATACAGAGTTTCAAGACAAAATGATAGGAATTAACAGTGGTTGTTTTATTACATATTGTTATCTTCAACTATGCTGCTCAGATTACCAGATGTAGGAATGGAAGATTGTTCAAACCATTAAAGAGAATAAGAAAATAATTATTAGAGAAAACATTAGAGATAATACAGAGTTTCACTAGACAAGAGGGTAGGAATTCACCGTGGTTGTTCCATTGCATGCATATTGTTGTCTTCAAATCAGTTGCTTCAAATTAGTTATACCATATATAAGCATGTGAAGTTGGTCAGAACATAAACTGCATAAACAGCATTAACTCTTCTTTTCAACATACCATCAGACATCAGCAGTACAGTTATCCCAGATATATGTATATATATATATTATTTTTACCTTCTTTCATTTTTTTTTCTTCTTTCCCTCATCACAGTCACTCCATATAATGCTCTACATTTCTTATCCATTAAGAAGCAGCATCCTAATTATTTTCAAGTTAGAAAAAAGTAACTATGAAAAAAAGATAACATTAACTTTGTGGCCTCTCATGGGAAAGAAACTGTGGGTTTCTCAAACCTTCCCTTGGATCTCTGGCCAGCCACAAAACCAGCCTGGAAAGGGAAAGAGCATACATTTCCAAGTTTACCAAATAGAGACAAATGCTGCCCGAACCCTGGAAGGCCATGGTGGTTATGCTTCTAAAGTCAAAACAAAGACAAACAGCAGTCGAACTGGAGCTCAGCTGCAACAGCTGTCAGATTCAAGCATGTGGTTGGCCTGTTGTTTCCTTCAGTGCATTTACTGTAACTTTTGCCTGTTTTATTCAGGTTCTGTTATTTTTTTAGTCTCTATTACTGGAATGTAAGTTCCATAAGACATTGTCTATTTAGTTCAAGGTTTTATCTCCAGTATTAGCAGAATAGTTGGCACATGGTGGTAGACTATTTACTCTCTTTTATGCACATCTGATTGGACTGTGGTTCTGATAGCGTGCTTGAAGAAAATTATAGTCCAATTTGTGTATATTGCTATAAATCCTTATTTCTCCATTTTCTGCTGACCAGTTCATTCAGATACAATAACGTAAGTGGAAAATCATATCACAAAGAAGGATCCTGAGAGTAGATAACAAGGTAAAAGAAAACTAACTTGTGACAGGATCCAATTGCTATAGATACTAGAAGAAAACTGAAATTTTACACTTTGTAAAATTGATATAAATACCTCTGAGGAGAAAACTCATATCTATAGTTTGCAAGGACATGGGCAGGGCTGGGTTACAGCTGGAAGCTGGAGGACCATCTATTTTACTTAATCCCAGAAACAGTCTGACTGAGTGCAATGTCATACAGACAAGCCATATTTCCAGGAGGCAGTGTTTGTCTGCAGCATAGGGAAGAAAACAACGTATGAATTGCTGTAGGGGAGAGTTTGGTGGAGAATAACACCGATCTCCTCTGTTTAAGAAATAGTAAAAGCTATATAAACTCTTCCATAAATCTCTAGGCCATAAGAAACAAGACCTCTGGCTTTTCTATAGATTTCCCTTAAAGAGCAGGCACGGACAGCTAGCAAAGAAACCCAATCTTTAAATAATAATTGGAAAGGACCAGTACAGAATCTACACACACAGAAACTCTGAAAGAAAAAAAAGGATAAAAAACAGGGCAATAGATTCTACAGCATAAAAGATAAAAATGAAGAAAGTAGGTAAACAGTCCAAAATAGAAAGTTTAAAAGGATTAGAAAGATATGCTAGACATGCAAAGTGGGCAATAGAGCTTCAAAATTCATAGCATCATGGTTACCAAAGAAGAAACAAAATATTGAAAAAATGTATCTAAGGAAATATTTCTGATGTCAAAGGAAATGATTAAAGCATTAAAAAGGCATATCACGAGTAGTAAAAAGATGATAAAAGTGATGACTGCTAAAAATATTAAATTTACTGGACTTTAAAAAAATAAAAAAGAAATCTTTTGGATATCCAGGTGAAAACAATCAACTAACTTACACAGGAAAAAAGTCAGGTTCACCTGAGACAACAAAAATACCTGTCATAAAATAATGTAGTAATAAATATAAATTTCTCTAAGAAAGATAGACTCATATATCTCAAATTGTAACTTATGGATAAACAAAAGAGATAAATTGTTTTACAAATGCAAAAAGCAGACAAAGTTCAAGGACAAGTTTCTTAGGATCCCCTGGAAGAATCCTTAGATCACAAATTAAAGGCGACTGAGAATACAAAAGCAAAACACTGGAGGTGAGCATTGACTAAATTAATAAATCAGGGGGTGAGGATTTAGCTCAGTGGCAAAACACCTGCCTGGCAAGCACAAGGTCATGAGTTCGATTTCTGGTACCGGAAGAAAAACAACAACAAAAACAAAAAAAGCAAAATAAATTAATAAATCAAAAGTAAATGAATCAAAATGAAAATACATATGAAGGCTATGGAGAGTTGTGGAGTACAAATATTGTGTGTTCTGATTAAGTGAGATGATTCAGAGTAGAGCAGGGAGAAAATGGGAAAAAAGATTTGCAATAGAATTAAGTATGTGGAATTCAACGCCCATAGTATTTGGAAATAAAAAGTCAACTAGCAGAAGAAACAAAAATAAAGAATACTTTTGACAGGTTCACTAGCAGACTTGACACAGTTGAGGCAAGAGGATTGATTTTAAATACAGTTCAACTAAATTTCCCAGAACTGAGACACAAAAAATAAAAGTACTTAAACCAAACAAGGTATTGAAGAGTTACAAGACAATGTCAAGAAGCACACCATGCATGTGATTAAAATCTCAGAAGAAGAGAGAGAATGAGGTAAAAGGAATATCTGAAGAGACAGTGGGAAAGAATTTTCCAAGAATGATAGCTACAGTGAAATATACCAAACCATATGTCTGAGAAGTTCAGAGGCCATGAAGCAGAATAAATAACAAATAGAAAATACACTGGAGCACAGCATGTTCAAACTGTTAGAACTAAGGATAAAGATAAAGCAAAGAAAGAAAGAAAGAAAGAAAGAAAGAAAAAAAGAAAGAAAGAAAGAAAGAAGGAAAGAAAGAAAGAAAGAAAGAAAGAAGAAGAAGAAAGAAAGAAAGAAAGAAAGAAAGAAAGAAAGAAAGAAAGAAAACCCCACTATACATAGGAACAAAGATAAAAATTACACTACACACTTCATCATAAGCTATGCAAGCCAAAAGTCAATGGCGTAGCATTAAAAGCACTGAAAAAACCTCTTTACCCCAAATTTTTACCCAATTAAAGAAAAAAATCTTTCAAAACAAAGGACAAATAAGTACACTTCAAGTTAGAAACAGAAACCGGAAGGACACATTTCCAGCAGCTATGCATTCCAATGACTATTACTTTATGTTTTTTGGGAAAAGGAAAATGACATCAGAAAGAGGTTTGAATCTTTATGAAACAATGAAGAATGATAGAAACAGGATGGACAAAAGATAAGTATGTTTATTATATTCTTGTTTTAATTGCTTTAAAACATAACAGGCCATCTAAAGTAAAAAGAGTAGAATTGTACTGTGTTTATAGCATAGGCAAAGTAAAATGTATGACTAAAAATAGTGTAAAACTGGGAGAGAGGAACTGAGGTACACTGTTGGAGATCCTTACACTATGTGTGACGCTGTAATTATTATAAATTGGGCAGACTGCAACTAAGTAAAGATGTTCTGCAAGTCATAGGATAAATATTAAATATTTTATAAACAAGATATAATAATAAGGCAATAGTTTAGATAAACCTGAGTAATAAAATATATTCCTTTTGAAAGTAGTCAGAAGAAAAGGAAGACACCAAACAAGTAGGACAAATAGAAAACTGCTAGCAGGATGATATATTATTTCAACCATATAAATAATTGTATTAAATGTAAATGGTATGAACACAAAAATTAAAAGACAGAGATTTTCAGATTGGCTAAAAATAGTAAAATTATTTGCCAAGAAATCTACTTTATATATCAACACATAGATGGTTAAAGATAAAAGGGTGGAAAAGATATGCCATACCAGTAATAATAAAAGGTTTACTTGATTATATTTACATCCAAAAGCGTAAACCTCAATTCTAGGAACGTTACCAGGAATAAACAACGTTGCATTTAATCCTTAATTTAACTCCAGTATGAATTATTTATAATCATAATGCCCATTTTACAAGTGAGGAAACTGGGAACAGAGAGATCAAGATGTGTTCAGAGTTCTGTAGTTTAGACTGAGGCTTTGTGCCCTGCTGCACAAACAGGCTCTTGAGCAGCCCTCCAGAGTCTGGCTAAGCAAGTTTGGAGTTAGGACTTGGTACCTGAGAGGAGAAGATGGAATTTTTAATTTTTCTCTTCTCTTATGACAAGGGCTGGCGGTGAGGGACATAACATCTGTTTACATGATTGAGACTCAGGTCAGAATGTATGTTTCTTTGAAATGTTTGTTCCCGTCATTTATCAGTGCTGTGATGTGATTGTAATTTTTAATTAATGTGTAGAAAAGATGGGGATAACAGATCTTTGTCTACACATGAGTAATAGGACTGGAAAACATTTCCCAAAGCTGTCGTATATTTTAAAATTCATTTGTGTGCTCTCCAACCCCATGCATAAACCCATTTGATTATATGCTATCAGTATGGGATCAGCTTGAGGTTTTTTGGAGGTGGAGGGAGAAAACTGCCCATTTATGTATTATTAGGAATGATCCAGTCGGGTGGGACATTTTTAAATTAGGAGACAAGTGCACACTGCTGAAGAAGTATCTGGAGCAGATGGGTCCTAGGGGAACTGGACAGGAACTATCTGTAGTGACAGGAACAGGAAGAGCAGAGGGGCACTCACGGTGGTACACAGGGTGCTGCAGGGCTGGAAGTCTGTGCTGGTTCTCTTCTGAGCCTTCGACTTTTTTCTTAATGAAAAAACAAAGCAGGCCATCAGCTGGACACGTGGAACAAGGAAAGGAAGGTGTAAGTGCCAGGAGAAAGAGAGAGAGAGGAGAGAGAGGGGTGGGGGAGGGAGGAGAAGCATAGCAGGACTGCAAACCAGCCTTTCTTAGCAGGACCCTTCAGACTTACACAGCAAGACCAGACACTCCAGCCATACTTCGTTGAAGACATCCTGGGCAGAGAAGGTAGCAAGGGGAATTTATTCAGAGTTGGGGTTTCTCATAGCAAGTTTAATTAGGTAAGAGAGGGGCAAGTATAGTAAAACGTTGGTTTACAAGCATAATTCATTCTGGAAGCATGACGCACTTGTATCTATCAAAGTGTATTTCCCCATAAGAAATAATGGAAACTCGATTCATTCCACAATCCCAAAATGTCCATATAAAATGATTATGATACTGTAATACAATACAAAATAGTAAAGAAAATACAAAATGTAAAGAAAAATGGACAAATTAATCTGTAGTTACCTTTGAAAAGCTTCATGGCTGGTGTGAGGGAGAGAGAGGAGGGTTATTGCCTAGGACCACTTTCACTATCGCTAATGGAATCACTGCTGCCTATTATCTCAATGGAATCATTTTATTTTTGCGCAACTTTAACAAGGAACCTGTCCAATGACACTTCTTCTTGCCTCCTTTTGAGGGTTTGACAGAAATGTGACATTTCACTATTGTTCAACAGATTGATTGCT